TTATTTGGAAAAAAAAACACCAGTTATCTTGGATATACATGTAACTAAATAAATCATAATAGAAAATTAACTTCTAAAGGAAAGAAAATACTTAACCTACTTTTTTGAAGTTGCGTAATCGAATAAAAATTAGCCTAAAGTTGCTGGTTTACTACCTAAATAAAAAAAATCATGGAAATCGGTCCAATAGTCTTTACGTGAATTGTGAATACGCCGACAGATAGACAGAAAGACAGACAGACAGACAAAATTCTAAAAACCACTAATTTGGGTTCAGTGCCTTTTACTTAGTCCCCTAGACTTGTTTTTATTTTCAAGAGGATATAAGAATTACAGGTACGACTTTTCTATAGATTTATTATGGTATTGTTACGAGCTTGGGGTTCGAGAGTCGAGGCAATAAAAGCTACCGAGTGAATTAACAAAATTGACACTTTAATTACAAAACACTAATTATAACTTAAAACCACACTAATAACACAACACTATAATTGTACTACTGATTACTTAAGTTCGCATTTGTATCGCTTCGAATTGTCGCGGTCTATACTTTATACCGGCCTTATATAGGGCCTGAGATAGTTGCAAAACCTTGTACTGTAAAAACATTCAGAATGATCAAGTATATACCGGACCCGACTTACTAGGTGTCGATAGTTCTGGAAAGTTCTAGCATGGAAATTTCTAGAAGAATCTTGACTCTTCTAGTTCTACTGGAGTGCGATAGTGGTAACTAGTGTTGCCATATACCAGGCATAATTGTGGCGCGCAACAGTATGTATAGACAAGCAAGTAGCTTCTCCTTTATCATGAGGGGACTCTCCTATTGTAAGAAGAATTTTCCTTAATCGTCGCACTTGGCCTACAGATTGGTGATCGCTCTAGTATTAGTTAACCCTCAGGTGATAATTATTCGTAGGATTAAATAAAACGTGAACGAATTATAAATTACAGTTTAATGAATAAAATTGTGAAATGGATTTCCTTTTATATTTGGGCAGGTTGTTATTTCTTTGATGACTAACTTTTGTTAGGCGATGGTAAAATCGGCCCTTAATAATAGGTACCTTTGTTTCGCTCGATGACTATGTTATCTGTTCGAACCCCACACATTCGATATTTACGAGTAACTTCCAGAAGAAACAAATCATTAATGTATGACTTAAGTCTAAAATCGGGGACGATTAAATCTATTCCAGTTCAACCCTCAAAAGACACAGGTTTGCGCACTTACTGCTAAAAAGAAGCTTTTCGTCATATCCCTTCATTTTTAGGACACTTCCCTTGCTGCTCAACCAGAATCGGAATCATCGACGTCGACATATTGAATGACGTGCAGTTTCGTTCTGCTAGAAGTCTATATTGACCTCTACAAAGTTGGGCAGCTCAGCAGAGTGTGACAGTATTTAATTCCAGCACACCGCTTGCAACAATACGAGACGTAGATTCGGCCTCACATGGAAATACTGTTCTCATCTCTGAGGTGGGGCAACCTAGTGCTAGCTACTTCTACTTGCTACCGCATCCAGCGCAGAGCGGTTTGAATCGTACACGACCGAGTCCTTTCTGATCGGCGCGATTCGTTGGCGCTGCAGAACTTTTTTCGCCGCATTTTCTTGAATTTGCCACGGGAAGTGCTCTGAGGAATTGTTCGGATTAATTCTAGCCGCCAAATTTCATCACAGAACATTGTGACAAAACTTGCGATACCATCCATTCAATCTGTACGCTTGGCGGGTCAACACTGAGCGTTTTACCATGAGATTTTTCCTCAGACTACTTTGTAGAATTTAACACCGGTAATTTTCCGGACTAGTACTATTATTTATTCTGTGCTGATACGACTTAAGAGCTTTCAAGAAACAAACTCTTATTACTCCTTTTTTAAAACCGGCAACGCACCTGGTATTGCAGTTTTTTAGGGTGACGGTTGAAACAAAGGGCCGCATGCATGCCCCTCTTCTAAAAAAAAATTAAAAAATTACAAGTAGTATTTCCAAAGCGCTTTTGGAACGTCAAGAAAGCTACACCATCACTACTACTGCTACTTTATTCCTTTGCTGTATGTATTATAAACGACGAAGAAATCCGTTTGGTTGGGATGAATCGTATCCTTTTGAATAAAAGGTTTTTCACATGTATTCCAGGTGCAGGCGGTTGGACAGCTAATATTCACTGGCTTAGGCCTGGCACAGTACTTTTGCGTCATCGACTTCCTGCGGGAGCTGCCGCTACTCCTCTACATCAGGATATTATATTTTCACAGTACGTAACATCTATTATATGATATAACATATTTTTAATCACCAGCTCTTTTAAGGTCTCTTGTTGTAGGGAGAATTTGCCTTTAAACTATTTAAAGCCAGTGGTTGACTTCTAACCCACCTGATGGTAAATGGTGATATAGCCGAAGACACTAAAGCACACTGAATTAACAAAAGCCTATTAACTCTTTCCTTGAAAACATTCATATCACAACCAGAGCGAAAGAGAGATGCTGGCGAATTATTCCACTCCTTTGCTGAATGACGAATGACGAAGTACACCGTTTGGTTCAAAGGCATCAAAGAGCCAGCCTAGCGTCTGGTGATTTAAAGATAGAAGGGCTTCTCCCTTCTATCTTTGTACACTTTTCGATGTAATGTAATGTAATGCTGTCGAAAACCCAAAGCTACATCCTTTGTGTCTATGTTTTAAGACTGGTGAGATTGGTTCCAACTAGATTTGGGTTATCAGTAAGTCTATATTCTTGAGATTCCATTTTACCATGCTTAGCAGGCGATAAATACCCCAGTACTAAACCTATCTCACCTTTTACACTGCTGTCTATACTCATTCTGGATATTTTATGTCTGGCGTGTCCAGTCAATGCAGCTAAATAACAAATTACGTTATAAGTACGCGATTTATTTCATAACACGACAAATCATTCGATTTGTTTCAGATCCCGATCCTTGCGGCTTCCGGATAAACATTGGTCACGCTATCGACGGCATCGCCGACCAGGCGTTCGTGCTCATCACTCGTGAGCCACTCCCTGCATACCGCACCTTCATCATCAATTGCACCAGCGTCGGTCTCAGCACTCTTTGGATTATTACCAGCGGTATCTTGATGAGTAAGGAATAGAGCTTTCTCGGGCTTCTGTAAGCTGACATATTATACATAACTAGGTCCCTAGGGAACGCTATCTCATATTTAATGTCACTACTGCTCAAATAGTTCCAGGCCTTTCTGACTTCGGGTCGCTAGATAGAATTTCTTAACAGAAAAACCCAACAAAGGAATTTTCACCAACTGCTGCATTATCTTTTAATGACTACTACTCATATCCTTATTATTATTCAACAAATGATGATAATGAGATGAGTAGGCCTATAGAATTGCTCATCTAATGAGAATGTTGTCACCAAACCGAACCATTCGATAAAATACTCGTTGAAGAACATCTAGATGACGTGAAGCAACGACGCCTCGGTAAGTCTGCAGTCTGTAAGCATGTTAAAGTTTGCCCCAGCCATTACATTGGATTTGATAAGCCACGAATTCTTTCAAAAGAACACCGATTGCTACCAAGTACGATTCGAATCGAATTAAAAAAATCATCCAAAATTGAATAGAGAAGATGACTGAGTGATATCATACTCGTAATTATACGTGGTAGAGCCATGCTACAGCTATATTATGGTTGTAATACGAATGGGTCGGCTCAACTGGGGCAGGACCACGCTCTCACAAAATACCAGCGTCAAATAGTGCTGCTGTGTTTTTATGGTGAGTGTAACCCTTTTTTACTGGAAACGAGGCATTCCATCTTAGTTCTCAGGGGTGACAATGCATCTGCGTTTTGATTCTTAATCAAGGATATATGTAGATGTGTATGGGCCACAGCATCCACTTACCATGAGATGGACTTTGTGCTCGTTTGTTACCCTTATTATACATTAAAAAATATGCTTTGGATCCATTGATCTATTATGTACGTAGTACATAATAGATCGATGGAGAGGCCGGGGTACAAAAATAATTAAATTAAATAATTAAATTAAGTACTATAATATCCATAAAATTTGTTTTAACCAATATTACTATTTAATTTCCAAACATGATAAGCTTCATTCGTGCTACAACGTATGCTACAGCGCATGTTGCAGCGTAGCTCTACCACGTGCAAACGTATAAGTGTACTATTTCTCTACAGCTGGAGGTGCGAAGAACGCCCGGACAAGGCTGATTCGATGGCCGTGGATCATCACCACCGTATTCACGTGCATCCTGGACGTCGTTGCCTCGGTCACATTTATCAACGACTATTTTTATACGAGAGTAAGTTAATTACGTGTGTCATATAGTGTTGCCCAAAATCGGTCTTCGTCTTGCAGTCTTGGTCTTGTTCTTGCATTTTTGCAAGACCAAGACCAAGAACAGGACCGCCTAATTTTAGCAAGACCAAGACCAAGACTGACCGTGCAAGATTTGAGCAAGAACAAGACTAAGCATGCGAGACTCTTGCGTCTTGCAGTTAGGAATGAGTGTCGTTTCAGGGAGTATAGGAAGTTCGGGTATACGCTTAGGGACTCTATGAGACGCAAAAATATATAAAAAAATTTGGAAAATTGGACTTATGCGCATTACGAACAATACCATAAACATACATAGCGGTGGAAATTCCCAATAAAAGAAAAAACAGTGCATCCCTAGTTTTGACCATCGGCACTTTGATAGTGCGCGGCGTCTTGTTGTCGGCACCATCAAAGGTCGAATACTGACCTGTCAAAGAAATTTTGCAGCTATTCGGAAGTACAAGGTCAAGATACACGCGCCGGCGGCTTCTATTGATATCGCATTCAATCGTCGCCGCCGCGCCGCACGCACTACATTTGACACTGTTTGAATGCCGCCACAGAGTACATGTACCAAAGAATAAAATAAGTTTCCGGGTGCTCAGAATGGACACGAATACATTATGCTGATCTCGCAAGGAATATTGTAATTAGATAATGGTAAGGATAGGTAGATACCATAATAATTTATTCTAGTAAGTAATTATTATAATATTAACTATATGGGTTTATAATAATTACTATTATTATTATTACCTAATAGATAAACATGTTCAATAAGTTCACTGCAAATCTCGATTTTTGGAAGTGTGTGTGTGTTTTTGAACACAAAGTGTTCGAATATGTCGCCACCCATTTGATAAATACTGTAAATTCTTATAACACTTGAAACGTGTAAACATTTTGTACAATGCTAATCGAATAAAACCAAAAGTGTGTATATTAAATAAAAAGCGTGAAATAAGATCTATATACTTTTTAGGAGCCCGAGTATTTCTTATAGAACCGTTTATAGAAATTGATTGCATCGAATTGATGTAAATATTAGTGATTTGCACAATTTTAATAATAGAAATAAAAATAAAATCACAATACCTGCTTTCCGGTTACACAAAGTATATAATACGTTCTTGGGTAGCGATATACGCTTTTATAATAAGAATCCAAAAAGAAATGTTAGATCATTCACTTTTTCAATTTTCAACTAAAGTCAGACAAAAATGCTTGGAACTGACCTCTCGTACTACACAGGACTAACTAGAAATTTCTAAACCGATTTGGTATCTACATATACATTGACATTTTATGTTTGACTTATCGCTTTACATAATTATAGAACTATTGTTACAATATTTTGAAAAGAGCAACTACTGAGTTTCTTACTTTCTTCCATGTTTCTTCTCAGTAGAATCAGAACTCCTGGACATGGAAAAGAAAAAATTGGGGAAAACAGTGATTATATGACTATTCAAAAGTGTATTTTTAATGCCTATTTGAATAAAACATATTTGAATTTTGTATTTCAAACGAGTGAAGGCAAATTTAATTTAATTAACGTAGATTAATTCAATCACAAGAAGAACATAATATACACAATTTTATTTACATATTTACATTTCATTTTTACGTAGGCACACTATAACCTATCTGGCAACGCATCTATTTTATTAATCTTCTGAAGAATTATTAATTTTATCAAAGGATGCCGAACTTTCCTTTGTCGGTCTTTCGGCGTGTACTTACAAATAGTACTATTTATTTTAATTCCAGTCATTCCCAATTGAGCTTTGCTTCGAGTCTAATGTATTAATTGTTTTTACTCTAATCCTTGTTATTCTCGGAGTGATAAGTTTACAATTTGACATGAATGACGAAGAGTCGAATAGTTCTAGTCGGAGTAGTGAGAGTTGGAGTTATAGATCTAAAAGATCTAAAAGCAAATTTGATGAGTTTTTCGACATAATTCATGCATCCCAAATTGCTTTGTGTAATAATTATGCCAACATAAAAAGGTTGAAATAAAAATGAAAAACAGAAACACTTCAGGCTTAAGGAAGCATCTAATATCTTTCCACAAAAAGGAATCACAAATATTTCTTCCTGAAAAACCAAAATTAAGTGGAGATATCACAAGCTTTTTAATAACCACCGGAAAAAGTGGACAGGTAAGAAAAAATACACTTATCACACAATTACATAACACATATATTATGTAACTAGCGGCCGCCTGCGACTTCGTCCGCGTACAATATCTGATTTCCTATGAGATTTTGAAATTTTCTCGCTGCAAAAGGTCTTACCTAAGTATAAAGAGGCTATATAGGTAAAGCTTAACTACGCAAGTATTTATCATTTACAACTAATAAAGTAAATTTCCATCTTAATATCTATACTTTAAAAACGTAGGACTTGCATGTAACCATTTTACCCCAATTTCACCCCCCTTAGGGTTAGGATTTCGTAAAACTGCTTATTAAGGATTTTATTATTGAAAACTTATAACTTTAATGCCGACTTTCGTGTCTCTAATTTCAAAAACGTAGGACTTTGATACAAACTTCCAACTCCCATTTCACTCCCTTAGGGATAGATTTTCTCAAAACCGTTTCTTAACTGATCTCTATGCCATAAAAGGAACCTACCTTACAAACTTCAGTTTGTATGTTTTATAGTTCCTGAGATATCGTTATAGTCAGTCAGTGAGTGGTAGTTATATATATATACATACACATATATATATATATATATATATATATATATTTACTGTTAAATATGTATTTATAATTCACTCATATTTTCATTTGTTTTTATAATCGGCGAGACACATGATTTACTGTTTTATTTCAGTCTGAAAATAGCAGTGACAACATCACGACAGCTACAGTTGATTGGATGGTTAAAAAATATCTTCCCTTCTCATTTTTCGATGACGATGCTACACAAGTATATTTTCGATCAATTTGTCCAAATATGGTGTTTCTTAAAAAGGTCCACACTTAGTAGGAAGGTCAAAGAACAGTTTGAAGAGCTTCAATTGAATCTTAAGAAACGACTACAACAATTTTCATCCAAAATGTCATTTACCATTGATGGATGGACGTCAATTGCAGATCTGTAGTCCTTGACTTTATACCATCACGCTGTCGACATACTGGGGAAGATATTGCAACGATTTTCCACGAATGTTTATTGGAATATGACATAATTGATAAAATACAGGGTATCACGGTCGATAACGCAACTGCAAATACCAAATTTATGTATGAATTGGAAAAACTGCTGCCACACTTTGATTCAGACAATCAACATTTCCGGTGCTTTGCACACATTTTGAACCTAGGTGTACAAGATTTAGTAAAGACCTTAGTGTTACGAGCTTGAGGTTCGTGACAATAAAAATTGCCGATAAAATTGCCTAAATTAACACTTTAATTTACTTTACACAAATTAAAACTAAAAACACTAATAATTAAACACACTAATTCACTTAATTCCGCTCCGAAGCTTCGCTTGTGTCGCCGAGTTCAACTCTGCCCGATCGCATCTTGCAGCGCCTACTTATATAAATTAGCAAAATATCCAGAATGTTCAAGTAAACACGCGCAAGGTACCGAGAGTTCGAGTTTTAAACTTCAAGAAGTTTAGTTCTTTGGTTCGAGACTAGATGGCGCTAGTGCGCCGATTAGGAAGATTGAACTGAATATGCGACAAGAGAGTATGGATATTGCTGACTTCATGTACAGCTATAACAAAATTACGCAGTATTTCCAGTAAAATAAAAAGAAGTGAGATATTGAAGAGGAAGTTTCAGTCTGCTTGTGAAGCAACCGGCGTGCCATCAAATCTGAACCCCATACTCGACTGTCCAACGAGATGGAATTCCACACATGATATGATTGGATTTGGTTTAAAAGTGAGAACTGGCATTAACATATTGTGCACTTCTGTTACCGAATTAAATGATTTTCAAGTCACAGATAGTGAATGGCAAATACTCGAAAAAATACATAAGTTTCTAATAAACTTTAAACTTCTATCAACGAGACTTGGTGGAGAAAATATGTTACATTACCGCTAGTCATTGTATTATTCAATCTCTTGCTCGATAAAATTGAATCCATGGTAAAACAATTAGATGAGAAATCTAATCGATCCGAAGTGGATGAAAGGCTCATTCTGGGTTTTCAAGCAGCTCGAGACAAAATGCTTAAACATTATAAAAAGAGCAACTGGATTTATTGTACCTCTTTAATTTTAGATCCAAGGCATAAGACTCAGACTTTTGACATGACATTATGGGGGAAGCAAATTAAAACAAAAAGCCTGCGCAAATTTAATGAACTTTATAAAGAATATAAAAGTATACACTCAGTGAAGACATCTCTAGAATCACCAAGAATGAAAAGAAAGTATGTGAATATCATGAAAATGAAGACGTAATAGACTTTGAGAAATTGTATGCATGTCCCTCGACGTCATCTGGATCTGGGTCTTTACATCAAGGCTTAGTTATAGACCAGTTGGAGGAGTACCTAAGTAAGTAAACCCTGAGCCGCCAGATCGGAAGACATTTTAGAGTGGTGGAGGACGCATGAAACAGAATATCCGAACTTTATCGAAGATGGCCCGTGATTTTCTTTCAATACCTGCAACTTCAGTACCTGCTGAGAGATTATTTTCTAAAGCATAATTAGTAATTAGAAAACATAGAAATAGGTTAAGTGATGAGTCAGCCAGATGGTTACTTTTTATTAATTCTTGGTCAAAAGAATTAACATAAAGTAACAGTAATGTCAAAGCTGTTGTGTACTGTTATGTAATTTTATTTGTATTGTATTTTATTTTTTTTATTTAAATAAATGGTAAATTGTATAACTCTTTTATTCCATTTCATAAAAGGGTCTATCAATGTCTTTCTAGACAGATAATGTTCTTTATAATACAGTCAAGTTAGTGTCATTAATTTGTTTTTTTATATGTTTTGACAAGAACAAGACCAGGTGTATTGGCGCAAGACCAAGACCAAGACTGGCTAAGTCTCGTCTTGTTCTAGTATTTGGGCAACACTAGTGCCATACGATAGTTGCGTGTGTGATGTTGGTAAGAATACACTCTTTTCTGATGGAATCGTCAATTTGGCATTTGGATCTTTATCTCCAAATGCAAAATTGCACGCAAGCCGGCAGCTGACAAATGAAAAATACATCTGACACTCAGCTCAACGTGATAGTATTAGACAAATCTTTCAAAATGAATTTGTCAATATCTTAAAAATGTGGCATCGTCTAGCACCAGCGATTTTTTCGGACCGATACGACTTAGAGACCTTTATGCAAGCTTAATCCTTTTTAAAAGGTAGAAAACGCATCTAAAACTCCTCGGTTTTGTAGTCGTTCGTGAGCGATGAACGATACCACTATTACCATTTGGTAAGCCCCATGATCGTTTGTCCTCTTCTATAAAAATTGCATCAATAGATTTAAGATACTTAAAAGGAAATGCCCACATTTTTTTATTTTGATAGAAATGATAATCAGTATACGGTTCATATTTGGACTTCATAAATATAACATTTCTCAATATTCGCTAAGCATAAATGTCTCTATCCGCCTGCATCATAAAACTCGTGGTCTTTCTATTCGATCTTATATTATAATACATTGTATCTAAAAGAACGTTGTTAACATCTCAGCTCCTCTTATAACCTTTTCGTTTAGTTCATAGAATCTTATCCCATGTATAATGTCCCATACATTACTTCCTATTATTGGCGTCAATCTTTGGATTCTCTTGACGTACCTTTAAATGTGTTCTAAACTAGATACTGTTCAAATCGTTAAGGAACATTATCTATCCCTCTGATTTCTCTCTCTTTCTTACACTTTTTCTATACTTTTGTGATCACTGATCTGTTGCTTTATGATTCTGCATAAAGATGCACCTTAAAATTAATTAAGAGCATTAAAAAACGCATTTAAACTACTTGGTTTTACTTTTTAACTCGACTTGTACATTATACAAAAATAATATATGACATTGACTTTTTTCCTAGTTTACTCTTAGAGTAACTACACACATTACTTACCAAAATTACTTCCAAACTTAAACATTTTTCTATTGCCAAACAAGGAGAAACAATTTTTTTTCTAGCTTGGCAAATGCACATGTTCTATATTTTAGACTACATATAAATTTTTCTGTAATTTTTATTTCCTTTTTGCATGGTTGTCTAATAGGAAATGCTGTGAAGCCACATGTTGTTCCCTCTCTATTTGTTTGTGTTTTACGTGGACGTATAAAAAATGTTTTATACGTCCACGGTGTTATAGTGTTGTAAGCGTCTACTGTACTCCAAACAAAAAGTCAAAGTCATGTCATGAATATTTTATTTTCCTTCAGACCCTATCGGACATAATGTCGTATGTTGGTGGTATGGTGAGTGGTGCCGGAAACGCAGAGCTCAACACAGCGTGGGCCGCTTGGGTGATGACGATGCTGTATTCGCGTTTCGTCGCACTATTCTTCATTAACCTGCTGCTGCTCGTGTTGGTGGTGATCGATGGCAACCTTCAGAGTAGCAAGGCTGAAGTGGTACGTGGGTAATCTCCTGCTTCATTATCAACCATGTATTTGCTACAGTGGCCTCGTTTGGTCGTAATCCCAATCGAGCGAAGATAGCATTGGCGCTGTGCCTCCCCTTTGACTGGTCAGAGGTGATGAGTTCTTATTGAAGTAAGCATCTACTGTTTAAAATCTTATTATATTCCTTCTTTTCCAATAAAACAAATCGATTCGCGATATTAGTAAAGTCAAGCTAGATTTTTTTTAAACACGTTACTCCCACGAGTGATTGCTTGGTAAGACATACAGGAAGCAGAAGGATGCAGGTGGCTCAGGAGCGTGCGTTTGTGCATTCCTTGGGAGGGGGGAGGGATATATATATATATATATATATATATATATATATATATATATATATATATATATATATATAATTGAAGGTATTGCATTATTATTATTACATAAATTTAAGTTTTTGAATTATTATTGCAGGTAGCATAATACATTGTAAATTATGTATAGAAACAGTGAAATACAAGCAAGTAACTGAACGTTATTTATGTATGGGTATCATTTAAGAAGTCCGATACTGAGTAATAGAACCTTTCTAATAACAAAGAAGAAAGAAGTAAGATTCTTTTTAAATCTTTTTATGGGTTGACTATTTACAAAAGATGCTACCTGTTTTTTCCTCGGATGTTGGCCATATAAAGAGTGTTAATTTACTATAATGGAGAACCCCATGTTCCAACAGCAGCGTGATGAGGATTTCCACAAAAACACCAGTTTCAATTAACTGTTTACTTTCAGCAAGTGGAAGCCCCAGTAGAAGCTCCAGTGGAAGCCCCAGCTTCCATTCCATCCCCTCCTACACCTCCAGTCATGCCTCCGTTATCTACGAGCTCGATGCGAGACGAAGAGGCTAGTTTGCCTATCGAAGAACCGAGTAGGATACCGCGAGCCGGACTCAGTCATACCTTCCGTAGAATGAAGACACTTCTCTTCAATCGCCAAGCTACACCCACGCCGCGTCGCTCATCCGTGCCTGAATCTTCAGAGCCTTCGCCTGAAAGGTTTCATCATATCTTTTGTGTATATTTTTTTAATATAAGAGTGAAAAGATGCTAATCATGGATTGTACAGATGCGTTGTCATCGCAGAGGACTTAAGAATGTCTGGCTACCGGTAAAAACATTCTCTGTTTCTCGGAACTCAGTATACGAAAAACTAGCATTAAAATTCTATTTGGTATTATTCGGAACTCAGTATACAAAACACGAGCATTATAATTCTATTTGGTATTACGTTGGTATTTTAAGCGACTGTGCTTTAGCATATAAAAAGTCATTCTCCCACTGTCCCCCACTGGACTGGAAAATTGGACAATGTTGAGCAGAAATGATCCAACCCCCAAACTGGAAACGAAGCATTCCATCTTAGTCCACACGGTTGACAGCGCATTTGCATTTTGATTCGTAATCGAGGATAGATTTAGATGTCTATGGGCCACAGCAACCACTTACCATCAGGTGGACTGTGTGCTCGTTTGTCTCCCTATCTTATAAAAAAAAACGAATGATCCAGAGGCTTATTTCGTTTTATTTTCTAGTATGAAAGACTTTTGAATAAAAACAAGTAATCTGAATATTATATACATTGAATTTTCGTTCTAACATAAAATGATATACATGCTTCTAGCACTAGGAAAATGCATTTTGTGGGAAATGGAGGAGGAGGAAAGGGAGTGGAAAATGCACTAGGAAATTGCATGTTTCAAAACTGAATAACTTTATGCTTTTGTGGGTTGAAACATTTCTGCATAACACGGTCCAATTGAAACAGGTAGAGGGAATGCCTTAATAGTTTTAGTGTGATAATTCTAGCGTTATCGGCATTTTCACTCACCCATATTCATATTTAATATTAATCATATAACTTTCATTCCACATGACGGTAAGTGGCTACCACAGTCCGTGGACGACTGTAAACAACTTCATACTAAAGGTGGGTCTACACTAGGTGAGCCGAGGACAAATGGAGCATGAGCCGAGCACAAATTCAGGCAATGTGGACTGACTTACAAGCATCGAACGAGCGCGCTACGAGCGTTTAGTTCGTGCCCGACTATGTCCCGCCTATTGTCGGTTTTTTGACGAACACAAAGGGATTTGCATCGCATGCATCGTTTTGCACGTTGTAGACTCGTTGTACGTCCACACTTGATACCGCGAGTAGAGCGGCTCAGCTTGTGCTCGGCTCCTCTAGCGTAAACCCACCTAAGGAAGGCTACGGATGTGTCGTCATGCCGGAGGGCTATGATGGAGTGCCGCACATCCCGTAACTTTACTGGGTCTATTTAATATTTTCAGACCGTTCTAAATCATCACAATAATAAGATAGGTTAATGCCTCGTTTTTAAAAACGTTTCGTTTCGACTTTTATTCGTCTGCAAGCAGCTATGCACGTACTAGAGTAAGTGACCAGTATCACTGCGACCTAAAAAATCTATTGTGATCACTGCTTTGGTTATCGTTCGCAACTAAGCCCAATGTCTTCAATAATAGATGGAGTTACTTAGCTGTGAGCAATTTCACTTATTCTGAGCTACATTTGTATATAGTTTCCCAGATGAGTGTTACATTTGCGAATTAAGAATCTACAATCGGTTAGCATGTGCAGAGACATTTCTTCCGTTATGGAACAGAACTGACACATACTTGAGTTGCTTAGTCCCAGGATGGACATGTGCTTTTTAAGACAACAATGTCCAGTTAGGGCACTTGCCAGAATGCGCAATTTGCTTTCACCTAATCTCAGGGCTTATGAAGCGAAATTACGATCAAAAGCCCGAATTAAAGTTTAAGAATGTTTGAAAAGTGGTGTATATAGACAAGATCTTAAGTGATTTATTGTAATTAAGAGTTTCAAGAGTCAAACGGGCTAGGTTTTTTGAGATTGCACAAAATGGCTCGGGTCCAAATTGTGTACTTTTTGAACCCCTTTCGTGCGAGATCTTCAGCAAGTCCAATGCCTATGTGGCGGCGCTGTCGTCGCGCCGCAAGCGAAACACACCGAAGCTTAAATCACGCTATCAACATTCCGAATCATAAAGAGCATATATAGAATATCTCCGAACTATCACATGGAGTGTGAGGAACACCTTGCCCGGCGGGAGATCTCCCCTTTTCCTACTTCGGCCACAGTGGTGACCACCCGACGTGATCTGAACACGCAACCAACAACCTTCGGAAACTACAACTTCAAGCCTTCGGTATTATCCTCAAGAACTCCTACCATTCACTATTGAGAATCGTCTTCTGCAGTCTTCAGTTCCTGCAAGCCAGTCCAACTTGTCTTCGTCTCGACTCACCGCAGATTTATAAGGCAGACTTCTGGCACTTGCTCCGGCATATCGTTCTCACCGGCATCACTTGCCAGTGCGTAGTACGGCATGCATTACACATCGGAATATCATTCGCACCGGTGTCACTTGCCCTTACGCACACAGCATGCATTCCCCACCGGCATTAAAAGGACACACCGGCAATCGGACTGCACTATCGACCTCCGATCTGAGCAGGGGGGTGATGTGGCGGCGCTGTCGTCGCGCCGCAAGCGAAACACACCGAAGCTTAAATCACGCTATCAACATTCCGAATCATAAAGAGCATATATAGAATATCTCCGAACTATCACACGGAGTGTTCACGGAGAGATCTCCCCTTTTCCTTTCACGGCCACACCTACAATTCCCGCGTGACCCGGTACCCATCTTAACACGACCCTGTAGTTACATCTCAGAGCGTTTATACGGTCCACGCAGTCCAACTAGCTTCGATTTCACTAAGTTTGATCTCAGCGCTAGCAGTGCTGCTTGACTATCAGAATTTATATAGATTATTTGGTCAACGTAGTCCTTTTGCAGATTGATTTCCGCACACTGAAGTCGTTTTCACCTGTTAAGGACATCTTTTACTGACGCTCTTAACCCCACCACAACTTTTTTTCTACCGCTCCCACCTTCCTTTCACTTACCCCTGGCCAGCACTTGTGGAGGCGTGGAGGCATTCGACTCGAGGCGAGATTAGCGCTTTGTAGCGACGTTCCAGGGTCTACCTGTGAAGTGGAGAGTTTGGGGGATTGGAGTGAGGCGGTTCAAACTCCGTTACCCCTGTTTTTACAAGTTATTATTTTAAAACCAATACGACTCTGCCGCCTGCTTCCCGGAGAGCCTTCGCCGATGGGTCGTTCAGAGAAAATGTTACTAGGAACCCATCCTCCCTACTTTCCGGATTTTCCAGGGTTCGGTACAGAGCTTTTTATTTTGTGGCCTCAACAGCTCAGCCACCTACTCTGGAGAGCCAGCATCGCTGCGGGGCAGATAAGTGATACCCAGCTGAGGCTTAGGCAGTTCACCCTCAGCTATTATTAAAAACTCTGCCTCCCGCCAGGGTTTCAGTTTATCTGATGATTAGCAAGGGAAATATATATACCCGCATTGCCCTGGTCTCGGGTATGCACTGTTTGCGACTGAACTTCCCCCCAGCCACGCATCCATCGCCATGGCACGCTTAACATCCTGGATTGGGTTAGGATAGGAGAAAGGGGTTGGGATAAAAAGAAAGGAAAAAGAGGATCGTCTGAGTGTGTCTGTTCTGTCTGTTTCTTATAGAACCAGATGAAATAACGACTTACGTACAATCTCCCCCAGAACCATTCGCCAAACAGGTTCCTGGACAGGAGCGCAAAATAGGTGTTAATATAGTGCTACTGATAAAAAATTTGAGAATTAGGAGTAAATTAACCCTCGCCCAAATTCGTCGTAATTATTTGTGAAACAAAATACTAGTTCGACGACATACTTTCACGTAAATGTGATATTAACAAAATACTCGTTTGACGACATACTTTCAAGGCAATTTAATATTATACAGTTCATTTTCGGTGAATAATTTGTAGACAATGTTCATTTGTGTTGAGCGACGAAAGTTCGTGCTTTGCATAGAACTTTATTTCATTGCATTATTTATTCCATCCATTTAGATAATTATGATGAAAGTTTAAAACATAATACATAATTACGTACAAGTCTTTATACGTGGTAGAGCCATGGTACAGATATATTTTAGTTGTAGCACGAATGGGTAAAATAGCAGCTTAATGTTGAATGTAGACAACCGGAGACCATTTTTGCTGGAAACGAGGCATCCACTTACCATCAGGCTGTGTGCTCGTTTGTCTCCCTTAAAAAATATAGATAAAAAAAATATAGATTGGTCATTCTGTATTTAGCAGATAGATTTAAAATTCTCATAAGCGAAGCGTTGAGGTTTTGTTCTACCCTAATGGAAATCCAGCAATTTTCTGACCTAAAAATGTTTTTATTTTTTTACTATTGCACTTTTGGAATAATAAAAATACACACATTTTCCTGTTTATATTATTTTAAAAAGTAGTTTTCTTTAATGGTTTCTTATATTTACGCGAACACTACACATTTAAATAATATTAGTTTTTACTGATTTTATCGCGTATAATTAACTTTTTAAGCACCCGACGTTCGCACCCATGGTCACGGGGAGACTGAGATGTTCAACGTCTAGATGTCATAATTAACCGTGGTTACCATAGATTAAAATTATTAATATTTGTTCCGATCTATGCAGTACGAACGAAATGTCGGGTATTTAAAAAGTTAAATAGACGCGATAAAATCCGTAAAAACTGGTAGTAATTTTCTGTGTTTAGTCTAAAAACAAACTGATTTAAAAAAATTCGAGAGTCTCCGGATGTCAGTATGTGGGGATGATGCACGATTACGGTCGTTAGAATTAATGTATCGAAATAATTATTTTTTTATTAAGTTTAGAATCTCAACGCACAGGGTCTTTTTAGAAATCACTGAGTAATTTGGTCTTTTTTAAATGTAATTAATGAAAATGTAAAAACCAACTAGTACTTTTCTACAAAAAAATATTCTCATAGATCACTTCTTTCGTCTCAAATATAGAAAAAAAAAGATATTTTTCTTTTTATATAATCAAATAAGATTATGAGGCGTGCACTTTTGGAATAACAGTAGCGCGGCAATATTGCTTCAGCTTATGTGGAGTCGGTGCCAATTTCGTTATAATAATAGTAATAATATATAATAATAATAGCCATCAAATTTCTTAATTTTTTCTTTATTCAATGAAAGGTTCATTTCAAAAAATTCACGAAAGTCACATAGGAATCGGTTTAGAGGGAATCAGTAACAAGAATCAAATGAGTATATGTAAACAGATCCCCTCAAGCCGCGGACGACAAGAAGAGGACAGTGAATTTCCCGGAGAATCTTCTTTCCCTACCGCAAAGGTTGGAGAACTTGATAGCGGAACAACAGCGAAGGCTGGACCGGTCGGTGATTGACACATCTGGGCGGAACGTTCCACGTACCTCGCAGTCCCTACCGCAGCTCTCCACAGAAAATGAGGAGGACAACGTAACGTCTGAAATGAACCGCGGGTGAGTCCGTAGACTTCATCATCATCATAATCATTACAGCCCTTCACAAGTCCACTGCTGAACATAGGTCACCCCCAAAGAATGCTACAAAGCACGGTCCTAAGCCACCTGCATCCTTCGACTTCTTGCATTACTTACAAGGGTGTCGATCCATCCAATAGGGGCCGCCCTAGTTACCATGTGAAGTTTATGTCCTGATTCCATAATCTTTTGGCTCCAGAAATCTATTAAATAAAAAATAAAAAATTGTTTTTCTTTTGTATTCTTTGCCCGCTATCAGGTATATAAAGTAGCCTGTGTACGTCATACTGCTGGGTTCATGCTTCCTCAATTTTTGATAGATTTATAGAGAAATTCTATCAGCCGCGCAGCTCTAATTAGAATCAAACGGGTTGCTCCATCTTTTGTTATGCGTACAGCAAATTAATGGAATAATTTGCTGTACGCATAACAAAAGGTCACACTGCTGGTCACAAATCTCTCATTGTTTATAGGATTCGCTGCAATCTCCGCAATTTTAATTGTATTTCTGACCTAAAAATGTATGGTAGTAATATAATGTATGTCTGGGTACATTGTATTGGGTATACACAATCAAATTGTAGTCATTGGCATCCTAAACTAATAAAGAATACTCAGCATATAATCTGTGGTTAGGACTAAAACTACGCAAATCTCAATCTTTAATATTGCAAGTAAGGAACACTTTAAAAATAATTATATTAATATCTCAAATTTATGCCAGACCATTTTTCAAAATAAGAACGAAAAGAAACTATAAATAATTAAAATATTTATTTGCGTAAAACATGGACCTTTTTAGGTCTTATAACATAGTGTGAACATACATGTTTTGCCGATTTATCGGTATGTTATTATATATTACGTCGACGTGCAATTGAATAATTAAAATTAGAAAATTACAATGACATTGCATATTAAAATAAAACAGTATACTGTCAATAAATGTAGGATGTAAAAAAGAGAAAAAAAGATAAAAAATATACAGACATGGTCATGTCATAATGCATAATGTCAAACTAGTGTAATGTCAACCTTATAAATGCTAATTAATTTGTCATTTTAAAACTCCAAACATCAACAACATTCGCTTGAGGTGACCGTCTCGGCAGAATGTGATAAATTCATTTATGTCATAATAACAGTTTTTAATCTCGAAAATAATTATATTATAGTAAAACAATTAAACCCCAATAAATCATCAACTCTTAAAATGTTGTAAACAAAGTTTCCATTTCAGCCTACTGCTGAACAAAAGCATATCATATCATCCCACAGATTTCCTGATAGAGGGAAGTTTGTGCTATAGTTGCCAAACTTGGCAAGCGAGTTGCCAACCCCACCCTTATAATTTTGAGTTATTATCAGAAATATGCTGCTGCCATCTCCTGGTTGAGTTTCCGTTTGTCGCCACCTACGACATCCACGGAACGATAAGGAATATCGAATATTCTTACATCGCCACTACACAATGGGGAAAACCAATGGTTTCAAAAGGAGGGATACGCCCATCTAAATATAGTACTCATAACATCTTTATACAAGAAAAAGTAGCCCATCTGTCATAATACAAACGTCATATTATAACATGACGTAACCAGGGTCGGATTTCGTAGTATAATTTTTGTATCATTATTTCATAGTGTAGTTTCATAATATTGTATAATAATACTAAGTGAAAATAACATTAATTTTGCCTTAAGGTCGACCGCCTTGTATTATTATTGGGTCCTTTAACTGTTTAATATTAACCCTATGATATAGAGAATATCTGTACAGTAAAAAAAAAGTTGAAAAAAAGCTTAGCGTTACCTCCCTTTCTGGTCTTTCGGTGCTCGATGTATTTATGTAGCATCCTTGATACAACTATAATATCACGATAAAAACTCTATGCTCCAGAAGCAATCTGTTTGAAAATAGAATGTCAAATTATTTTATGAATCAGATTTTCAGTTACAAAACAAAAATAAAAATAAAACCATCAAAAAACGAAACGTATAGATAAACTAGACGCGTGACGCCAAAATCCCGATACATGGGATAAAAGAAATATGAAACGTCAAACGTGATATAATTTTTGACAAATAGTATAATATTATTTTCCATGTACAATATATTTGAGGGTCTGAATCTAACTCTGGCCTTATCTTGGTAACGTAACTAAGCTAACTGTAAAATAAAACTTTAAGAATGCGTTTAAATAACAATTTAATGTAGCAAAGTTAATATAGGGTTATTTACCGATAATACGCTATCCCATGTTCCTTTTTAATTTTTGTATTGTAATTTTTGCATCCTTTTACCACGCTACTAGGTATATTTTATGACATGCAAATCTGTTCTGCGCACGCACCTCTGTTGACCGAGTCGCGTTGACCATAAACAGTCATTTTAGGACCTGCGCACTGGTCCGATTTAGTTGCGCGGTCGACCCAGTCCTTACACTAGTAATATATAAGTCAATGGGTAAAACAAAGTTTAGAGTGTATTTAGTGTCTGCGCATGTGAACTATTTGTGGAAACGATGAATCCATTCCTCCTACGGTGATTTGAACCACAAGATAATGTGTTCTAGCCTAGTTCAAGCTGGCTCAAGCTGCCGTCAAAATTTTCCAAAAACTTTACAATGTAACGCGTCAACAAATTGTGGAGTTTTAAACAAATTTTTATGAGGCGGAATTTCGTAATACATGACTGGCAATAGTACAACAGTACGAATCCACTACCAAAAAAATTTTTATCGGTCATGGACAATGGTCGGGCCATAGACAAATTCAAGGTTGCATGTTACAGATACTTGAAACAAATTATATAAACAAAGATGTAAGTGCCTACGAGCAAAATACGGCAGAAATCGCGACTTTGTCCGTTACTTTTTTCTACGTCATTGCTTTAAATACATTCAAGTAATTTATTTTAGGATATTCCTCAATATGAGCAGAATAATTAGTTTGATGGATGTCAATGACTACGAATTCATCATGCACGTAATGTATATATATATATACGAGATGGAGTGTGATGACATAGTCTGTTGTCACATAAAGATTTTTTTGTTTATAGGTTGATTCATCTACATAAAGCTTGTTCATTATCATTATCAGTGTCTGTATGTCTTTGGGGGCGTAACAAAAGCCCTCACCAATATCGTCTCGTACTTGCCGGAAGAAACCTCTATGAGAAATCCTAGAACAATCGTATCACTTCCTATAGATGGCGGTAGAATTATTTCGTTTATGTCAGACGTAAGATTCAGATGCACAGACCGGCATGATAGACACGCAGACATGTGTCAATCGTGAATGATGAATGATGATCATTGGGCTCGTGTCGCATCAACGTATTGATTGCAAGATTGCAATTACATTTTTTGAACGTTCCGGATCAAACGATTGATACAACCCGCGACTGAAGAGTATAGTAATGTCCAACGACCGACACTATCGATCGGGCCTCAAAGATCACAGAGTACTGAAAACACGAAATGACCCATTCGAATGATCGGGTCATTGAAAATGAACGAATGTCACATGTCTACTTCAATCTGCCTGCCTAGAATGACAATAAAGGCAATGTTTGAAAGGCAGGCTTGAACTTTCACGAGGCGATAAGGAAAATGAAAGATTAAAATATTTTAGTTCATTCCAGCCATTGTCTAAGCATTGTCTTTTAGCTTCGCTGTACTCCCTTTAAGATGTTTAACGTTATTAGTTAAGATCCGCGTAAAAAATGAAATAAAAATGATGTTTCTTAAATAGTTTGTACTTCCCCAATTCGGAATGTAGGTAAACTTTTTTTAAGAGTTCGGTATTACATTTTTGCTTTATTCATGTTATTATAAACAAAATATTTTGTTTTCAAAGGTTTTAAAATATTGTCTTTTCTAAACAATAGTTATTTCATTAGCTTTTTAAAATATTTCTAATTATGAAGAATTCGCAACCTTTTCCAAGCATAAAAATATATTAAGCTATAAACATTAACTAAATACAAATATTGTTTACGCGTGTTTTATTAATTAAAAATTAATTGTAAAAAAATATCTCTGTATCATAAATAACTTTTGTTAATTGACTGTTGTTTTATTGATTGTTTATTATTTAAAATTAATCCAAATTAGAAAAACAGTCCCTAGTAGCATATAAATAGCCACCCAAGCGGTAGCCATGCGGTATTAAATTTTAATAGAAATCAAGCAAATTAAGGAATTAAAAAATATAATGTTATTATTTTATAGACAAAACTGAGAAATTATTGTACTTTTGACAATTTCTTAATTATGACAATATATTTATATCACTAGACTAGATTTTGGTCTCACTTCATTCAACCTATTTTATGACGTGATATTTGATGTGCTATTCCTTATTTTTAAGATTGCTAAATAGCAAAATAGAGTTTATTGATGACAAATCTTGAAACTGTTTCAAAATCAGCATAGCTTTATAATTTTCTTTACATGCCGTATTGCAACGTCGCCGTCAATACTAATTCCAACACAACTACTGCGATGGTGTTGGGAATCGAAGTGGCCGACCGCTTAGGGATTTCTTTCTTAGTCTAGTTCTATTCTACGAATCATAATTCAACTCTTCCAAAGTACGTCAACATGACGTACGACTTTTAATAAAGCAAATTTTCTGGGCGTTAATATTTCGTAGATCATTTATTTCATTTTACTTGCCTGTAAATTTTAATAATCAGTTTCAAAAAAAAGCTCTAAGCTAGATCTGTAGAAGAAAGCTTGTCTTGAAAAAAACACAGTCTCTTTGATTGTGCATAAAAAATCACTTGTAAAAATTATAATCGTACAACGCAGACGGCGCGGTACCGCGGCTGAACTACAGGGCCAAATGCCTTGGGCTTACATCCCCGCATCAGCCCATCGCATGCGAGACCAATTGCCGCCTGATGAAGACTTACCACCCGTCCCGCTGCCTGATTACACCGCCATACCCTCATTTAGGAAAACTTGTGAGTCGACATAGTTTTTTTTAAATAATGTGTCACGATGTGGCCAGTGTTATCCTCAAAATTCTTAGGTACACTACACTTAAATACTCGTTTATTTTTTATTTTGGCGGTAATACAGAAGTTTTTAAGATTACTTAAAAATTTCTCTACATTTCCAATGTTCTTTATTTGTTAGTAATTATAAATAAATCACTTCATCTGCACGTTAATTAATTTAAAAAAAGTTTAATTTAATAATATTTTATTAATAATTAAAATTTTGATTTCTTGGCGGTCGAATTTCAAAAGGACAAATATTGAGGCACGGTTATTATTTGTGGCCATTCATATTAATAAAATAAATATTTTGTCCGAGATTTAAACCCCAGCCATCGCTTAAACAATATGCTACTAAACATTTAAATTCATATTTACTACTACTTTTTATATCTTCCATTCAACAATTATTTTATGTTTTTATGTTAATTCTTGTTGTAATGTTCAATGTCTTAAGTATATCTGTGATCTGTGTTAACGATGTATTGTCCCATTTTCATCACATTTGTGTGTGTTTGTGTGATAGCATAACATTAACTAAGATTTTTTAACTCTCACTCTAATTTAATGTAGGTACCTCTTATTAAATGATGCATGTTGTGTTTACTTTAAATCAAAGATAAATTAATATGAACTTGTTTTCATGTGGATACAATGTAAGATCATAAAATATAGTGTAATGCATAATATTCTTTGAATGTTTTATAGTATTATTTTTAAGCGAAATGTCGATAGAAACATATTATTTTAAGTTGCTAGTACTTTAAATCCTTTTTTGTTTAAATTTATAAAAAAAATTACCGTAACATTTTTTCAGCCGTTCATCGAGCTGCTTCGAGTCTAAGTTCTTTGACGCAGAAAAGGGAATACCTCGCAATGCAGGCGGCGCGTCGTAAGTGTTAGTTTTATTTGTCCATATTATTCTAAATAGAATATGATTATGCAATTATAACAATATAATATTATAAATAAAAGTAGTGCCGTGTAGTGTTGGAATATCCACTAGCCCATATCATCCCGTGGGCGTCTACTAAACGGATAAATTATTAAATCGATTTCTCCTTTCAGCCCCTCTGACGCAATCGGACGTTCTGTACTAAGAGAAGTTATATCTGCAATATCGCAGTTTCTTAGACGGAAACCTCGTGCAAATCAGCTTTTACAAGAATAATCATGGAATAATAGAAACAGGGATCGTTAAAAATCACATACATCTATAATAAAAATATCAAATCCTACTCGGAGTATTATATGTGTAAAAGTATGTTTGTTCTTTAATCACGCTTAAACGTCTAGATGGATTCTGATAAAATCTGTTACAGAAGTCGATCATGCAGTGGAATAATTTTACTGCAGTTATTATTTAAGTTTAATCTACGCTCTGCGAAGTAACAATATTTGATTTAGTAACTAATATACGCGGGTATAATGTTCATAAAGCAAAGGTAGAAAGTTCATTCTGTAAATGATATTAATTTATCAAAAGTAAAATGAAGCTTGACAGTATGTGTTAAGAAAAGGGTAAAAAGATTGTCATTTGTTAAATTATATAGTTTCCAGACACATGTCAATCACGAATGATTTGTTTATTTGACCCGGGTCGCATCAAAGTATTGATGATTGCAATTACATTTTTAACGTTCTAGATCAGACGACTAACAGCATTTACGACCAAAGAGTATGGTAATATCCGACGACCAATATTATTGATTTGGTCTCATAAATCACGGAGTTATGAAACTCGAATTCCATTATAATGATCGATCCGATTGACCTGATTCATAGGACGAATCAATACTTGAATGATCGGGTCACTAGAAATGAATAAATGGTACAAATGTCTTTAGTGAGTGAATGAATACAAAAGCTGGGTTGTAAGAGTCCTTTTCCACCCAAGTGTCCACCATCACCCCCTCACCTATTTCTGATACATAGTGATATACTGGATGACCTCTTTTACCGTCTGGAAAAAATAAGGTTCAACATGTGATTGGAGTAGAAGCCTATGTCACTGATATTTCACAAAAATAAAAACAAAAATTTTGAATTAAACTAATTAATTAAATAAAATCTATCGAAATTCAAATCATATCAACCCTACTTTACGAACGGTAATAAACTTCTTTTTATAGATTATTATAAAGACGTCTATTAATGAGTTAATGATTTCATCGCGTTTAATTTACTATTTTTATATTCCAATAGATTGGAACAAAACTATTATCATTACCAATAACCTATCAAAAACCCACAGCTGATACATATAATAGGTTTTCCCCATATGCAATGTTTATTGGGCGACCGCTGTTTTTATTATTCTGTATCGATATCAGTAAGATGCTGATGTTCATCTCCCGTTTCATTAAATTCATTAATTGAAAATTTTATTTAGGCAGAAATTGTTTAATAAGGCTCTTTAGAGGCTCTTTTTCTAAAGAGTACATGATTGGTAATAACCCTTGAATTAGGTGATCATTGCCATGCAAATGTTTTCATAATTAATTGTGTAAAATATTATATTGTAATTTTTTTTAAAGTAAAGACGTGTTTGCTAATAATCCTTGAGAATGAGATAATCGCCAGCGTGCTGGTTCTAAACGTGTTTATAAGAATTTAGTTGTACTACACTAATCCAACAAGCCACTCCAGCTTAATATTACAAGTAATAATACTATCCGGTATGCTCACTTGCAATTAAATTACCAACGAGCGCTTAGCTTGTAGCTACCACAAGTCTGGATAATCAAAACTTACAACTATTACCAACATGATATATTCCTAGCCAAATATGTAACCATAAAACCTTTCAGATATAATAGTAGGTCTGTGCCCAACAATAAAAAAAATTACTTCTCTTCTTATGCAACCCACGAGCCGATAAGTAAGAAGCATTATTCAGTTGAACGTCGTAAGAGGCAACAGATCGAAAGGAAACAGTTCATTGGCAGCAACACCTTCCCAATAACAACCTAAATAATTAAATCATTGCGGTGTTCAACCTGCCTGCTAATTTTGGCAACTATTGAAAATATCCCCCGTACGCAGCGTTGCCAAATCTACGGATTTTTCCTTAGGTCTACGGATTTATTTAATCGGCTACGGAGCTACGGAATTTGAGTTCAAATCTACTGAATTTCGTTTCCATATTAATTAATTATTTTTTGTTCTTCACAGTCCTTACAGAATATAATTAGATTTTCAAAAACTTAACCCAAAAAATTTTTTTATATAATTTTTATGGTACTTTTTTCTTATACGTGCAGCTTGATTCGATGTTATACTATAATTGACATTGAAGACAGAAAAAATTTCTCCAAAAAAAATTGACCTAATTTAAGACAAAAACAAAAATTTTCGATCCTTTCAAGAAGTCGGCAGATCTACGGAATTCTAAAGAAATTTTTATAACAATATACGGATTTGGAAAAATTTGAGCTGGTAACACTGCCTGTACGAGTCAATCTAGTAGAGGCCTATGTGAAGAAGTGTAATTTTGATATATTGTAAGGAAAAGTAGGGTAAGGAAAAGTAAGTTCGTGCAATGACGTCTGTGTAGTTTTGAACAAGTTTTGGAACATTTTTTTACGTATATTATATAAAAGGCTGCAGTGGAATAATATCTTACGAATAATACGCTAAGTAAGGAGTGTTTTAATTTTAAATCAGTTGTGTTGCCTTAATTTAGTGTTAAGATTGTTACTGCATTTGTGGGATGACGAAAAATATATGTAAATTAAATGTCTCAATTGAGATGACTGTTAAGACAGAAATACATTATTTTAACCAAGCCGTATAAATAGAACATAATCATATTTATAATATATTGAGCTAGATGTGAATTTATTTAAATCGTACATATTTAAGCTTTATGAATGGATGCTAAGATTAAGATAAATAACATCACACATTTTTACAATACCATAAAATACATAAATTTAATTATAATAAATTAATATTATATATTACCCAATAGATACCTAAAAATTATCTTTAAGCAAAATTGTTAAATAAATTAATATACCGTTCTATTTTTTATAACAACAACAACAAAGGTGTTAAATGAGCACAGTCCAAACAGACCACTTAAATGGTAAGTAAATGCTGTGGCCCATAGACTACATTTATCCTCAATTAAGAATCAAAGTGCAAATGCATTATCACCCCCGAGGACTAAGATGGTTTGCCTCGATTTCAGTAAAAAGGGTCTCCGGTTCTCTACACTCACCATATGAAACACAGCAGCATTACACTGCTATTTTACGCTGGTATTCTGTGAGAACGTGGTCCTTCCCGGTTGAGACGACTCATTCGTGATACATTTATAATATAGCTGCAGCGTGGTTCTACCACGTAAAAATCTTCATCTTTTCTAACTTCTTACGTATTTTTGAAAACACTAGAACGTTAAAGCATCACAATAATCAACCATATACAACGTGCGTTACGCGTCATGTTTCTAAAAAGTCTATGGTATGTTTTTTGCATTGTCAATCCTCTTTGCTTTCGCATTTCACTTAAGTGTGACCGGCGTTAAGCTTTTTAGAGGTCAACAAAATGTCAACAGCTTTTTTAGAGGTTACCAGAATGTCAACAACCTTTTTAGAGGTCAACAGAATTTCAACAGCCTTTTAGAGGTGAACAGAATGATACAGCTTTTTAGAGATCAGCAGAATGCCTTTTTAAGTCATCTGCTGAATAATAAAGCTATATAGCTAATATGCTGAAAATGAAAGATTTCATGTCCGCAACTCAGCGCTCTAGGTAGACAGGCGGGCTGGTGATCATAGACCTGGTACCCTCGCACAATAAACTAAGACTAACATTTTTATTTACCATAAGAAATATCGATTATGCACTTCTTTTGTATTGCAACATGGGCCTCACCTCTGTATTGCCTTATAGGGGGAAATTAACAGTAATATCCAAGATTGACAGGCGAGTTTGCAACCGCAGCTTTTCTTTATTATTTTGAGCTGTTTTAAGAATGATGCTCCTGTTTCCTTTCCCTCTGTCGCCTCTTACGTCACCCACGGGATGATATTGTGTGGTGGATCCTCTTGCGTAGCCAATATACAGCGTGTTCATTAATGTACCTTTGATAGACTGTAATGACTGAAATAAATGAATTTGTATTTACTTCACTTGTGCTATTTAACTGCGGGATTTTATGTACTGTATTAAATGTACTATATTAAAAAAAGAACAAAAATACTATTAATAAAAAAAATAGATTTGTAAATTATTAAAATATTTGAAGTTAAATATAATTTTATTGAAAAAAAAAATCGCACTGGTCGTACTGATTTACTGACTTATATATGACTATACTGCATTGGATGGATAACAATGATAGCTATATAAAACAACACATACTATGTAAAAAAATATGTTTACTGTTGTCATATTTAGAATATTTTGTGCGGAAGCTTTTCTCGATTTTATAAATAAGGTTAAACTGTACCTTTGCATAAGTCGTCTATCTTTTAAATTTGTATTTTTTAATGTAAGATTTCCTTTTTTGTATTTTTCGCAGTTTTGTATTTTGTACGTAATTAATAATTATTCGGTACATATAAAGAGCTGCTGTAATATATATTATCACTTGTATAGATTGGTTTTATTTCATTCCCCACAAAAGAGAAGATTATCTCTATCACACTACACGAAAGCAATAATTAAAAAACATTGACTTAGAGTACATATTGGATGACCTTTTTTACCCTCTGAAAAGAAAATAGAGGTACTTAACCGATATTATACAAAAAGTAAAAACGAAATTTTTTAATTAAATGAATAAATTATTTAAAATCTACCGATATTCAAATTATATCCACCACAGCCTGTGACCCTGCGAAGTGACAAGGTCAAAAATGTCTACCGAATTTATTGTTTTATTGCCGTTC